TGCTGATTGAACCTGAATAACCTATAAGTTTGGTCACCCTACGGATCTCTTTGAACCGTGTGCTGACGACCTGGGATGCTCCAGTCACAGTCCGGAATGTCCCGAATTGACAGAATTGCAATCGAGTGACGTGGAATTCAGTCCTGTCACAGTTCTGTCAGTCCCGACGATGGAGGTGGTGTGAGTAGAATTGTGACGTAATTAAACACGACGAACAGGTTTCGGCTGCATGGTTGGATGAGATATTTATATATCCAGTCGACGCATGCGTTGTAGCCCGAAGTACCTATGTTCACTCGATTGTCACTATTTTTGGTATTTGGAGAATTTAATTCCGGAACATTCAATCGAGTATGCCCATTATCAATGAACACGTGATAGGAAAGACAAGAGTGCGATCAACTGAAGACCGCAAAGAAGATAAATTAACGACAGGCTTGACCTATTCAAAATGCCTACGCATGTTAAATGAAATAAAAATTAATGTAATAAAATTTTGAATGTACAGAAAGGTTTATCATTTTTAAAGGGAATAACATTCTGGTGATTCGAAGTTCTATGTTCAAAGCTACATTATAATAATACTTCCGGTTTTCGAAGTTACAATATTTCCGGTTTTGAGAAAAATGGGTTTTCCGACACTCTGCGTAATCCGACATATTGTAATGATCCCGTACGATGTCGGATGTGACAGAGTGCACTGTATAGCACAAACTCCATTCATTCATTCTTGGCATTTCATTTCTCCATCTTACCGGTACTTTGACGGATCACTATTTTGACCCCACATAGGCTATTGACCAGTTGCAGGTTGATTTAAAAATGCCCCTCACCCCTAATTCTTTAAATGATTAGTTAATCTATACTAATATTTGTGACTGTCGTTTGTCTGTCTGTCTGTCTGTTCGGGGTTGGCGGCTACACTAGGTCTGCCCCGAATCTGAAATTTGGGGTATAAGGCTAGCTCGGGCCGGGGAGTAACATAGGCCAGGTGGCGTTAGTCTACCACTTCAGGTTTCGGAGTTATGACCCCCGAGCGAAGTCTGTCTGTTCGGGGTTGGCGGCTACACTAGGTCTGCCCCGAGTCTGAAATTTGGGGTATAGGGGTAGCTCGGATCAGGGAGTAGCATAGGCCAGGCGGCGTTAGTCTACCACTTCCGGTTTCGGAGTTATGACCCCCGAGTGAAGCCCGGTATCCTGCTAGTTATGTCATAAATATTTGAAAGCGTACCTTTGGATTTTCAAACACAAAATAAGAAATGAGTTTGACTATTTAACATGTCGGCTATATTTCCAAAGAATTTACTACACATGTTCCTTTCAGTTTTCACTATAGCCATGCTGCAGTACCAATGAACCGTATGTATTTTATCAACTTTGACCCCCCCCCCCTCCCCGACATCGGGAGCGATAATGTAAACGATTTTACTGTCCTGTCTATTTTAATATTATTTCATGACATCAAACTATTCTGTTTCCTTTTGAGAATTTGTGTATAGAGTGCCAAGGTTTATAAATACTGTTTGTCAATCAGTCGCTACCTATGAGTGAGGCTATCTCATGCTACGTGTTTGGATGAATGATTGCAAGTGACCAGTGTAATATGAAGTACGCATGTAGTCTTCAGTGACCCTTCAGTGACCGAAAACAATGTGGTAGCTACCATTCCTGGTTTTTGAAGGTCAGATATGATATAAAAACGAAAATCCATTAGTAATTTTTGGAACCGATTCCCCTCATTATTAAAATGTAGGGATTTAGTGAAGTGGAACATGTTTTATTGTTTAAATGGGGACACCAAGGGATTAAAGTCATAAACACTTAACCTCAAAATATAATATTAAATATAAAAGAATATAAATTAGTCAAGTTATTTCTTTAAAAAATACTTCCACTGCAAGTGATAATGAATAATAGCACCATTTAAATCTGGATAAAACATGAAAACAGCACAACCATTTTATGTAACCAATTGGTTACGCAATGGTCATCTGGCGTAACCAAAGAAAATGGTTACGCAGAGCATAAACCCGGAACCATTTTTTTGGTTACGCCAAATTTGAAATTTCATGGTCTGTATTTTGTCGATTTTTTTAAAAACTTTGATCCTTAATTTAGATATGTCATAACTTATGGGAGATAAGTTATGACATATCTAATGGTATCGTTGAAGTTGGGTCAATGAGATCTACATACATTCCAAATTTCATGAAAATCGTATCAATATTAAAGAAGTGTCCGTTCTGTTTTTTTTTCCTGGACTAGATGTCAATGACGTAATGTTCGAAAATCGGAAATAGCAGATTTTAAGTAAATATTTCAAAGTACCCAAAGAAAAAGAAAATTAGTAACACAGGTCACATAGTCACAGAGTTGTGGGTATGTAGGTCAATTTCTTTTGTTCATAAAATTAGGTGATTTTGGATTCGTAAAACGTTTTGAAAATATATTGATTCCAAGGCCACCACCCATTCTTGGAAGGAGGCTAACTAGAAATGATTGATTTCAAGCTGTTAATGGGAAATTTTCACTGCTAATTAACTTTGTCGGCACGAAAAAACTTCAAGGGCGATATTCGAATTTTTGAAATATTCAAATTAATGGGGCATTGGTTGCAGCGTGCGCATGTGCAAAGCTGAAATTCATTTCTCTGCTCTGCAAGAAAAAGTAGCTGACTTGTTTCCTTACTTTTGGAGCAATCAATATACATTACAAGGTGGCCCTGAAAATCTCAGCTCAATCAATTCAGTCAAAATGGAGATATGAGCTTAATACATGTCATAAACTGCAAATCTTAGCCAATGTATCTATGTAAAGCTCTGTGTTGCATTCTATTAATGCTAATGGACTGTAATTTGGAGAGTAACCTCTTCAGGTATTGAGGGAGAACATATATGAATTTCAAGGAGGTAGGGTGACTAGAAGGGACCAAGGCTGTGGTGTTCAGTTGTGCACTTTTTTGCAATTCCGTCTCTTTTCGCTCTATGCTGATGTATGAGCCCTGTTTTTTTATACGCCCACATTTTCATGTGGACGTATATTGTCGTCGCCTCTGTCAGTCCGTCCGTCCGTCCACAATTGTTTGTAATCAGTCTACAGGTCACAAATTTTATCCGATTTCAACGAAACTTGAAATATAGGTTTATCACCCTAAGATCTCGGTTCCTTTCGATATTGGCATGTATCAGACTGTAACTTCATGGATTATGGCCCCTGATTGTACGAAAAATCACGTTTTTAGCTTGTGAACACTGTAGAGGTCACAATTTTTATCCGATTTGGTTTAAACTTGAAATGTATTCTTATAACCCAAGGACGACTGAGTTCGAATTTCGTGAAAATCGGACCAAAACTGACAGACAAAATGGCCCCCCTTCGTTCTCAAATAGCGTAAAAATATGGTATATCAAGGTTGTGGACCCTATAGAGGTCACAATTTTTATCCGATTTTGTTCAAACTTGAAATGTAAGTTTATAACACAAAGATCTCGGTTCCTTAAGATATTTGCGCATATCGGACCGTAACTTCCTGAATAATGGCCACTTATTGTATGAAAAATCGCGTTTTTAGCTTGTGGACTCTATAGAGGTCATAATTTTTATCCGATTTTAAAAATCGTTTTATTATATCACCGTTACACCCTAAGGAAGGCCAAATACGAATTTCGTGAAAATCGGCCCAAAACTGACAGACAAAATGGCTGCCATTCATTCTCAAATATCGTAAAAATATGGTATATCAAGGTTGTGGACCCTATAGTGGTCACAATTTTCTTGAAACTTGAAATGTAAGTTTATAACCCAAAGATCTCAGTTCCTTTCGATAATCACGCATATCGGACCGTAACTTCCTGAATTATGGCCCCTGATTGTACGAAAAATCGCGCTTTTAGCTTGTGGACCCTATAGAGGTCATAATTTTTATCCGATTTAAAAAATTGTATTATTATATCACCGTTACACCCTAAGGACGGCCAAGTTCAAATTTCGTGAAATTCAGCCCAAAATTGACAGACAAAATGGCCGCCCTTCGTTCTCAAATAGCGTAAAAATATGGTATATCAAGGTTGTAGATCCTATAGAGGTCACAATTTTTATCTGATTTTGTTGAAACTTGAAATGTAAGTTTATAACCCAAAGATCTTGGTTCCTTTCGATATTCGCACATATCGGACCGTAACTTACTGAATTATGGCCCCTGATTGTACGAAAAATCGCGTTTTTAGCTTGTGAACCCTATAGAGGTCATCATTTTTATCCGATTTAAAAAAACGTATTATTATATTGCAGTTACACCCTAAGGACGACTGACTTCGAATTTCGTGAAAATCGGCCCCAAACTGACAGACAAAATGGCCGCCCCTTATACTCAAGTATGGTAAAATTATGGTATATCAAGGTTGTGGACCCTATAGAGGTCACAATTTTTATCCGATTTTGTTGAAACTTGAAATGTTAGTTTATAACCCAAAGATCTCGGTTCCTTTCAATATTTGCGCATATTGAATTGTAATTTCCTGAATTATGGCCCTTGATTGTAGGAAAAATCACTTTCTTTTTAGCTTATCTATCCATCTCTCAAAAATGTGGGCATATCCTGCCTGGCAGCCCCTGGTTTTTTTAAATATTGCAGCTATTAAGCTGAAATTTTCAGAGAATCATCCTACATGTATTCCAACGTGGCTATGCAAATTTCAGCTTGTTAGCTCAAGTAGAACTGTATATTTTAGACTGTGATAAGCATAAAAGGACATTTTTCAATGGAAAGCGATCTATGTACAGAATGCGGTTTTTCGTTCAACTGAATGTGCTTGCATTTAATTTTGGCTGAAGCTATGAACCTGAAATTTGCAGGGTCACTTTGTGTAATCTATTGGAAGGTGGTTCGCTGCAATATTAAGGAAATGCACCCCTCCTCAGTTGAGTGACAATATTGAGGTCATTTAGCTACTGTGGGCGTATGTTTCGTTGCCTGGCAACCTATCTTTAATATTTTTCAGAGGAAAATCGATGTAATGCTGATATAGTTGATACAACTCCAGGTGGTTTACCAACATCCAACAAACCAGCAACATCTGCCGAAACAATGCCGTCCGACAAACCAACTTCATCTGACAAACCAGCAACATCACCTGAGCAAAGTACGGCAACCTCAGCAGTAACACCACCATCTACCACCATCCCCATGCCATCTTTGGTCTTTACATTAAATGATGCCACAACTAAAGAACCATGTATCAAGTTAGAACTTAGCGATCGTATTTTTGTGACTTACAACCAATCTGATGGTGTGGTAAGTCACATCACGTTACATGTTTCTACCACACAGACATTTTATATAATTTAGAAAACTATTGTACATTATCAACATGTTGTTTGGAAATTTGTTATTGAATTGCATTGAAGCATATATTATGTAAAAAGCATTCCAATAATGCCTTATAATATTTATATAGTATAATCCCTAAGTTGATTGCAGAAAGAATAACAAGATTGTATATATTTACCTTGCGATTTTTATGTAAAAACAGGGAAAAGTAGTTGTGTTGAAAATTGCAAATGATGCAGATGTAGGTGGAAATTGTTCAACAAATGATTCAACAGCCATGCTAAGTCTGAAGTACCATAATAATACAGATGAAATGAATTTCGAATTCCGTGATGAAAATGGACAATCTTCTCTGGATACCATAGAGTATAAGTATTTGTTGGATAATCGTTTCCCTAATGCTTCAAACCGTAAGTATTTACAAGACTTTACTGTCATAGAAATAGTGTATGCACAAGTCAATTTTTTTTTACAGTGTGCCCTCTTTTCTGAAAACAGTGTGAACGTGATTAGAGGCTATAGTGTTCGATGAATTCATGAGAGGACTAACCCTATCGATTTTCAGCGTGTTGCAAATTTCTGATAGTTTTTAACGAATGTTTTTCAAATTTGGCGGGAAGCATTGGGGTCTTGAGTAGGGCTGGCAGAAAATACGATATTGCCGACATTCGCATGTAAAGCGTTTTGAAGATCGATAATCAATACAGATTTTAAATATCGATAATCACACAATTATAGGTAGTCACTTGTGAGAAAAAAACCATAAGATATTCCATGTGTGACGCCAGGGCCACAGAGTAAAAATTCCAACCCAAGAAGTGTTGGCTGCTTATGATGAGAGCAAATATTGTGGAATATTGAAATTATATAGACCAAGAGTCAAAAACATGAATTAAGCCATTATACAAGCAGTTCTGTGCACATGAGAAATCCTACAAGAAATAAACTGTTACTGTCAACTGGATTTCAGTCTTATTTCCAGAATCCATTTCAAAGGGAAATAACTACATTTTTATACGCCCACATTGAAATGTGGTCGTATATTGTCGTCGCCCCCGTCCCGTCGGTCCGGCGTCCACAATTGCTTGTGGACGCTCTAGAGGCTAAAGTTAATATCCGACACTGTGTTTAAGGTCATGAGACGAAGAAGCCTATTGATTTTCAGCGATTTCTGATAATTACTGCCAGAGTTATGGCCCATGATCACTTCAAAAAATCTTATGGACGCTCTAGAGGTCAAAGTTAATATCCGATTGACTTTAAATTAATACACAGTGTTTAAGGTCATGAGACGAAGAAGCCTATTGATTTTCAGCGATTTCTGATAATTACTGCCAGAGTTATGACCCTTGATCACTTTGAAAAATCTTGTGGACGCTCTAGAGGCTAAAGTTAATATCCGATTGAGTTTAAATTTATACACAGTGTTTAAGGTCATGAGACGAAGAAGTTTATTCATTTTCAGCCATTTTCGATAATTACTGCCAGAGTTATGGCCCTTGATCACTTCAAAAAATCTTGTAAATGCTCTAGAGGCTAAAGTTAATATCCGATTGACTTTAAATTTATACACAGTGTTTAAGGTCATTAGACGAAGAAGCCTATTGATTTTCAGCGATTTCTGATAATTACTGCCAGAGTTATGACCCTTGATCACTTTGAAAAATCTTGTGGACGCTCTAGAGGCTAAAGTTAATATCTGATTGAGTTTAAATTTATACACAGTGTTTAAGGTCATGAGACGAAGAAGTTTATTCATTTACAGCGATTTTTGATAATTACTGCCAGAGTTATGGCCCTTGATCACTTAAAAAATTCTTGTAAATGCTCTAGAGGCTATTGACTTTAAATTGATACAGAGTGTTTGAGGTCATGAGACGAAGAATCGTATTGATTTTCATTGATTTCCGATAATTACTGCCAAAGTTATGGCCCTTGATCACTTTTAAAAACCTTGTGACCCTCTAGAAGCTAAAGTTATCATCCGATTGACTTCAGATTCATACACAGAGTGTAAGGTCTTGAGACAAACAAGTATATTGATTTTCAATGAATTTTTATGACTTGAACAGCTAAATCCATGATGTTAAAAGTTTCCTATACTAAACGTTAGCATGGGGCAAAACTTTATAAAAACCAAACAAATTCTAATAGTTTTCTGATAATTACTTAATGAGTTGTTACTCTTATTCAGAATTTAAAATACAGATGTGATGTCACCCTTTGATGTTGGCGTACCATTATTTCAAATAATCGTACGGGCAACTTGCCAATCGTACCTTGTCAAATATTAGACTCGAGTGACGTATTTCACTGTAAACGCACGTGCGGAGTGTCTGTATTTTAAGATGTTTAATGGTCTCGAGCTGAGACATTGCGTAATATATTGTAAAAACACTCGGACCTGACGGTCCTCTTGTTGTTACAATATATTACTTAATGTCTCGCTCTCGACCATTAAACAATACTTAATGTATTATAAATGTTTCATTACCGAAAAAAGTAAAAATATGTGACAACCCGGAAGAGTTAGCTGCTGTGGGCGTATGTTACGTTGCCTGGCAACCTATCTTACTCATTAATATTGTTCTGGTCATAAGCGACAAATATATGATCAGATCTGCCAAGAATAGCTACTATAATAATAAATAATCATCTTCACAACCACATGATTTATTTAAAATTGTTCAGTCGCTTACATCCGATAAAACTTGACGGCTTCCATCATCAACTGATGAACATGGGCGTGCTGCGAGATTTTGTTCTGATTCTCTTCCAACCTGGCTTCTGAAAGAGGAGAAAGTACTGGAAGTTCAATCATTACTGGCATTGTTAATCATTCTATAATCACTAGTACTCTTCCTGTATGCTTAAAGTCAGCTCTGATTTCACCTTTGTTGAAGAAACCAAACCTTGATCCTCAGCTGTGTAAGAATTACCGACCTGTTTCCAACTTGCCATTCATCATCAAGGTTATCGCTTCTCAAATTTCAAATTATCTGTCTGAAAATGATTTATATGAATCGCTTCAATCTGCTTACATACAAGGTCACAGCACAGAGACAGCTCTACAATATTGACCTGGCACTGGATAAGAATCTAGCTGTGTACCTAGTTCTTTTGGACCTTGGTGCTGCCTTTGATACTATACTGAGCGCCATGGAAAAGGCATCACTTAGTTTTTCGTATAACAAAATGATCCTGTAAACATATCTTATTTATTTTGCTTCTTATTGTGAACAATATTCAAATGGGAACACATCAATAACAACACATTTGTACACTTATGGATGTTTAATCTGTAATCAACGGTACAAAGTCAGAAGGGTCAAAACCAAAAGTACGACACAGATGTCAGTAGCGCGTGTGTCCTCCACGGATTCTTACGCACGCTGTGCAGCGACGTCGCATGGAATTTACCAATGTTTGAAAGAAGGCCTGGGGCAAATTGTTCCATTCTTGGACAAGAGCAGCATCTAAAGCAGTAATGGTGTGCATCTGTGGTCTCCGATACAGACGGCGTCCAATCTCATCCCAGACACGTTCTACCTGACCTTTTTGATTAATAAAATCCCTCTCGTTTTATTTTTACATTGACGACTGTCTCGGCATTCTCGCTGTTTGTTGTGAATCTGATGGCGATACTGTTTATCGTAGTATGAGTCGTAAAACAACAAAAATAGTCGAGAACATGTGTCATGTTTTCCTCATTATTATTAATATAAAATGGAATAAGCTATTATGTCTGGACTAATCAAGATCAAAATGTCATGTGGTTATTTCCGTCATTTGCCGTGTCTAATTTGCATAATTCGCGGTAAAACGACGGAAATAGCCAAAAACACGTCTCCAGTTTTCTCGATTATTATTAATATAAAATGGAATAAGCTAATGTGTCTGGACTAATCGAGATTAAAATGTCATGTGGTTATTTTGTCATAGGCCGTGCCTAATTTGCATACTTCGCGGATATTATTTGCTTCGCGGATATTATTTGCTACGCGGACCCATTCTCGCATACACTCGTAGTCGTACAGTACACGGCGGGTTTACCGTTAGTTGCCAGTAACGTTGTTGCTTCTTCCTTAGCCATATTTCCTTCTGACTTGATAAATAATGTTTTCAAGCTGTTTTCCATGTGTGAAAAAAACAAATTACAATTATAAACTAGAACTGCGACGCAGTAATGACGGGTTTCACAAGTGCCCCGTTACCCTTGAACATATGTCACTTCCGGTACCGATGAAACCATTAAACAGGTTTCCATTTAAGCATTGCACACATCACATAAAATGTACGCAGAATCAACCAAATCCGGCAATATCAATTCATTGTATACATTCATTACATGTAAGTGATCCTGACAACATTACATTACTTCCGGTGATAATGAAAATGTTAAATTAGTTTCATGAAATCAGAAATAGCATAAGGCATCACATGGTGAAAATTTTATGTAAATCGAATAATATTTGCCACTTTTACAGACCAAAATCCTTGAAAAGTGACTTGTAGAAAATCTAATTTTATGAAAATCGAATAATAATTGACACTTTTATGAACCAAAAACCTTGAAAAGTTACCTGTTGAAAATCGTGAATTTCTCCGCAACTGTACAAGTTAGAAACCATTTTGTGATATCTATATGATCGTTTGGGTTCATTCTATTAGTTGATTGGAATCAAATATCAAAATTTTAAACAAATAACAAATAAGACTCATTTGAATAAATTACTGGTTTTGAAGGTTATAAATACAATTTTTGCCCAAATTACGTCATTTCCGGTGACATTGAAAATGTTAAATTGGTTTGACCTTGTTAAAAATGACATTACGTATTTTTTATTTGATTCCCTGGTTGTATGGACAAGGAGTAGGGTTGTCTGATCCAAGTTTGGGGGTTTTTCCCCGGTCCTCCGGTTTTCTCCCACTGCTGAAGAGACTACAGGATGCAAATTTTTGAAAGGAAATTGAACGATAAGTTAGTTCTGAAATGACCTAGTTTTGAGTAAACTCGATTTGTTTCTTTGTCTTCGTTTCAAGATGGTGGCACTTCCGGTTCAATTGGCAGACTTCATATTTTGTGTACACATCAGTACTTTCTTTGCTAGTACAGAAAAAAAAATCAAGGCAATCTGACCTATATTTCGTCGATTTTTAAAAAAGATTTGATCTTTAATTTCATTAAGGGGAGATAATTTAGAACATTTCTAATGACATCTTTCAAGTCGCTTTTATACGGTCTACTTACATACTAAATTTCATAAAAATCGTGCAACTATTAAAGAAGTTGTCAAGTTGGTCTCAACTTCCGGTTCGAAGTAAATGTTTCAAGGTACTCAAAGAAAAAAGAATTAGTAAAATTTAACCTCTAGAACGTCCACAAGATTTTTTGAAGAGATCAATGGCC